AAAAAAGAAAAAAGAAAAAGAACTGGACCCCAGGTTCTTCCAACATCACTGCCCTGTGCTAATTAATCCTCCTAGCAAATTTCCTGCCCCCAGGGTTGCGTGTGTATTGGAGTGCAATGGTTTCTCTCCTCTGTCTGCTCTTGGGACTCCTGGAACCCTTCGTGGACCACTGTAAACAAGATTCTCCACTTATGATCACATAAGAGATAGTCACAGTACACGACCACTTTAGGGACATTCAAGCTTGTGGTACATGTCGTTCTTCCCTGGGATCTCTGGGTTTATATTCTGAAGGACTTTGGGACTGTAAATTTAAGACTCCTGTCTTATATTATATAAGAAAACCCCATCCACAGTACACACCTCTGTATTACTTATCAAGGCTGCTGAGCCTTGGAAATAACTATACATCAGATTTGTCTCAGCTGTGTAAGATTTTTATTTGTTTTCTTTTTAGACAAAGCGCTTATAAGAATCACAAAAGATCATGCATGAATCACATTTATCCCTCAATAACAAAAATACATTCTCAAAATTTTTTAAAAACCAGGTTTTAGTGACCCAGATGGCTGGGAAAATGCTGCCAAGGTTTTTCTGGCCTACCACAGAATTTTCTACATCAACGAGAGGGATGCTGCCTGTCTTGGCCATATTACTTCCCACCGCGAGAAGAACCGCAATACACAGAACATGCTTGTTTCAGAAAACTGGCAGGAGATGGCTTTGAAGGGAAGTCGGTCAGGTCGGAATTGCTGTTGGAATCCAAAGCACTCTCCTCTCCGGCCCCCTGAGAACGGGACACGGAGGCAGGGAGCTCTTGGCTTGGCGCATCACAGCTTCAACAGCCAGACCTCGTTGCGCCGTCCGAAGGGCTTCATGGGAGGGTCGTACCCTGTGCAGAAGTAGATGTCCTTCTGGTAGGTAGCCGTGCCCTCCAGGGCAGCGCGCAGCTGGGCGGCGTGAGCCACGTAGTCTGCTTCCTTGGCATAACCCCCAAACTGCCTGAGGATGCAAGAGCAAGGGTTAATAAAGGACGTGACCTCAGAGAGGGAGAATCATTAAAGGCAGAAGTCCCTCGCCACGCTGGTGCTGGTCACAGCAAGCACGCTAGAGTGGCGAGACTGGGGACTGATCTGCCCTCTCGGAGCTCATTTTCCTCATCTGTAAAAAGGGGATGTTTTCTCTTTCCTCCAAAGTTTATATGGACATTAGATGCAATAACGGATGTGAAATCACTAACGCAGGGTCTGAAACACAGGTGGGTGGGTTCCCCTTTCATTCCTGACGTTTCCGAGGCGAGGGCCTGCTGGATTTCCCCAGGCCGCGCCTTCGCCCTGTTCTCTAGCCCGCTCTACTGTCCTGCCACTTCTCTGCCTCTCTGTCACCAGTCTGGGAAAGGGAAAGAAATGAAGGGGACTTAGGGTGCCACTGCATCTGCGCATGCTCCTTCCACCGACGCTCTCAGGACTGTGCACATCACAGTCGAGACGTGTAACATGCAGCAGCTCCATTACAAACCAGAGCTCACAAAGGCAAGGACCAAGGGAAGTCGGGGAGGACACCTAAGCAGGCTTTAAACATGACACCCCCTAAAAGAACACACTTCTAATAAATCCCTTCTGCTCAAATCATAAAAGTCTCCTTTTTCTAACAAGAGGCGTTTTCTTAATCTGCATTTCTCCTGATGGCAGAAGTTGAGGAAAGAGAACTAATAAAGGTTTTCAAGATGATTATTCTCCCCCTTATGTCATCCAGCTGTGTTCCCAAATACATCCTGCAGCCTGCCCTGAACATACCACTCTCAATCTGGGTCGCACTAAAATCTTTATTGGAGTCCAAAAATGTCCCCATTTCTAATGAGCTTTATGACTCAAAAGTCTGAATTTGCACCAGGCCAACATTAGGCCAAATAATGCATTATTTTTGGTGGAGTCCTCTGAATCATGCTTTGCCCTTTTATAAGTGGTTAGTCATTCTCGGCAAGCATTCAGTATGCTGGTTGCAGGGTCACTGAGGTGACAACACCCAGGACTTTCTTTTCTAAGGGACGGGTTATTCTAATGTCTAGACAACAGTTATGGAACATGGATGGAGCTGAGACCAATCTGGACAGAAACTTGTTTCTTCAAATATACTGAAGAAAGATTCAAAGGCTATGGAAGCAGGTGGGCTCTAGCATCACTGAGGCTCAAATAAGAAGAATTTAATTAAGAGACAGAGAATAAACATTCAGGAAGAATTTTTTCTGACAACAAAAACCTCAAGATGGGAGTATTTTTTGTTTGTTTTTTTCTTTTTTTCTTACAAAACCGCAAGATGGGAGTATTTTCTTTGTTTGTTTTTTTCTTTAGACTAGGGGTGTCCGATTTTTTTTTCTCTATTGCACATGGGAAGAATAAGAGTTGTCTTGGGCTGTTCATAAAATACACAAATACTAATGAAAGCTGATTAGCAAAAAAAAAAAAAAGCATGCATACTTTATGTAATATCTGACACCACAGATAAGCAAAGAGTCCTCACAAAATTAGCACGTGGGCCATGTAGCACAGGTTGGACACTCCTGCTTTAGGCTGTGAAACTTCCATCTGAAATGAATCAGAGGCTGGATGGGGGAGTAGGGGTGTAGTGTTCCCTGTGATCCATGAAAAGGGACAGTGTTGGGTCTTCAAGTACTGACTTTGGAAAGGGCCAAAGGGATGGCCCTTAAATGTCATCATTCATCAGCTGGAGGCAAAATGGCTAACGTGTGCTCCAATGGCTAGCTCTGCCCTCTTGGGCAAATTGTTTAATTTCTCAAATCTTCAGATCCTTCATCTGTTAAAGCAGGATGGTGACTGCATCCATCTTCAAAGGCTACTGTAAAGTTTGAAAAGAGGAAGGTGCAAACTGCTCAGCCCGGTGCCTGTCACACAGTGAGCCCACGGCAGGCAGGAGCTATCACGGTTAGTTGGCAATTTGCTCAGAACAGCCTTTCAATTTCCTGACTCCGACGTGGGGGATAGGATGGTAATCTAAAGTCAGGTCATGAACTGCCTCAGTAACAATTCTCACAGTCTCAATAGGCCTGTGTCACATGGTAACCTCATTCTCCACCTTCATCCCTCGTCTTCTTCCTTTGTTCCACTTTTTACTTATTTCTTTTTTAAAACAGCACCTGTTACCCTCTAACATACTGTATAATTTACTTCCTATGTTTATTTTCATGGTTTTTGTCCCCTGATAGAATATAGGCTCCACAATGACAGAGATCTTTGTCACTTTTTGTCCACTGCTGTATCCTAAGCACCTAACACCATGCCCAGTACATGTTTAGACCCCTCGGCTAAACGAACTATTCATTTAGAAACAAGAAAAGTGACTATCTTCAGTTGGCAGACCCAAAGATGATGGCACTTAAGACCTATTAGTGAGTTAAGTGTTTAAATACATCTGTTGGCCCCATGTTCATTCACTCACTCATTCATATAATAAACATCTGGGTATAAGCTACAAGTAAAGTGGACTGACTGGAGCCAGATGGAGAAGGGCGTGAACTCCAGGCTAAGGAGTTTGAACCCGATCTCACATGTGCAGGGGGCTATGAAAAGGCTTTAAAGTAGGATCACGTAGTGTTTTAGAAGGCTCCCCTGGGCGGCAGTGGAGAGACAGGGAAAAGGCAGAGGGGTAAGAGATGAAGAGTCACTGGAGCCGGCATGAGAGGACAAGGCCTGGACGGAAGAGGGGAGGTGAGAGAGAGCAATGGAGGGTTCTCCAGGGCTTCATGCTAAGCTTCCAAGTGGAGCTAATGTCTCTGACTGGAATCAGGAGTGTGAACAGGAGGGTTGGGGTAGGTTTGGCTTGGGGGCATGTTTACATGAAGGTGCCTCTGTGAATACATTCATGCACCAGTTACTGAATATCTGAATACTATTTAAATATGTGTCTCCTTAGACTTGGGACAGAACTGGAGTTGGAGATACTGATTCAGGAAAGTGATGAC